TTTACTGTCAACAGAAAGCGAAGATTTGTGCAGCTTGATGTTAACAAACTGTAGCCTAAGAACTAAACTACACGAATTCGACCGAGAAATAAAGCATAAACTCTACAGACTTTACGTGTATGCCTCATTCATGAGACCTATAAGGAAAATAATTTCCGTCTACAACCTTCAAACTTTAAGACGTTTCAAAGTGCTCTTCTTCCCATATTTGGACGCGCATGCTTTGAAAACAGGAAGCGAATTTTTCCACGCTTTTGACATTTTTGCTTATGTTGTGTAATCCACATCAAGAGCTTTCATATGAACCTTGACTTGAAGTACTTAAGTCAGTGTTTGAAATTTAATCATTTTTTGAGGCTTAAGGTTGGTCTTTGTGTAGTCACACCTTAGGTCCCCTTGTCGGAATTTTGACCGAGTACTTTAGTTAGTACACTACACGAGTGAATAACATGGTTAACGATAATCATGCTTGAGGTCGTCCCAGCTGTAAATTTCCAGTGGATGAAGGTATGCAATGTGATGCATGTGGATGTTGGTTCCACAAAGTTTGTACAGGATTGACACCAACCGTGTACAAGCGTTGCAGCAAACCAGCTTCTCCCTGGTTATGTGATTTCTGCTGCAAGCCGTTGCCAACCCTCATCCAGGAGGCTGTTGAAAATTTACTTGTCAAAAAATAGCTACGTGGAAATGATAGCTGTCATTCTAATGAGGTATCAGATGATGACGCTGCAAGTGTAATCGTTAATATATCTGACACAGGACTTCTCATTGGACTAATGGATGCTGGTGACCCAGTTGGTGAAATTACACCAGTTCCAAAGCGTACTCGACGCAAGAGAAAGCCAAGGGCAAATGGTACACCGAACATAATACCTGAGGATTCACCGAAAGCCTGCATCTGCGGTAACAGCGTTGACTCTGTAAAAGTGGTCAACAAATCTATATAGATTTCTCCAAGAAAGCATCCGAAGAGACTGTCAAAGGTTATCAAGGAAGATACTAAGCTTATGAAACCTATTGAGAAGGTTTCAAAGGCCGTCAATACATGACTCAAGGATTCCACTCCAACGCCCAGTTTAATCTTCTGGAATGTTGACGAGTCGTCAGACAAAGATGCTTCAATACGTAATGGCCATGACCTGCAACTAGTCGAGTCGGCCATCAGACGTATTCTGCCTGAAAAGTCTAAAGGGGTACACATCTCCAAAGTAGTTAGGCTAGGTAAGAAAACGGACGAAAAACCTGATGAGAGAAGAATTTTAAAGGTTATTTTAGGCAACAAGGATGAAGTGGATGTACTCTTGAGTAACACATCTAAACTACGAAATTCGGATATCCGCATCCGACCTGACTGACCCGTCGAGGACCGCATAAAAGGAAGAGAAGCTGTTGCCGAACTTACGGCTCGACAGGCTAATAGTGAAAATGATCTTAAACTAGTGGGTTTTCGGGTTGTGAGGTCTTGGAAGCGAACGCTTCCAAGGCCTATATGGGTGGGTCATGGAACTCTTCCAACACAATCAAAGTTATCTACACTAACGTTCGCAGTATTCGAAGCAAAATGACAGACCTCGAGACTCTAATCTGTGAGCTAGGTCCTGACGTAGTTGCCCTTACTGAAACCTGGTTAATCAAGGATCTAGATTTTACGCCACTCCTTGCAGGGTATTATTGCGTAAGGACGGATGGGGTTGTGGGTCGCAAAGGTGGCGGCATACTACTATATTTTGGGATGACGTCCACGTACGATTAGTCACTTCTGAAGCACATGAATGCGGGACCTGTGAAGTGGTCAGTTGCGAGCTGAAGTCAAAGCATGGTTTCTGTACTATCGGGGTCATTTACCGTAGTCCATCCTGCCTTGCAAATGACTTCGTGCTAACCCATATGCGTAACTGGAGTAGAAGTAATAGATGCCTAATAGTTGGGGATCTGAATGCTCCACACATAAACTGGACGGAGCTAAAAGTCTCACCACCAGGTGGTTCCTTCGAAAATGACTTACTTTTGACGGTCTTAGAATCTGCTTTAGTTCAAAACGTAACATGTGCAAAACGTTACGATTTTGAACACAAGCCATCGTTATTAAATTTAGTTCTAACCCATCAATGTGAAGACATTCTGGATCTACGACACTTCCCTCCATTAGCTAACAGCGATCATGTAGCACTAACTTTTGGTTTTCGGACTAATGAGTTTGATTATGACACTGCCTCCCCTAGACCTAATGTATAGCGTGCGGACATTTTAAGTATAAGGGATTGCGCGGTCAGTAAGGATTGGACCGTCGACAAGGACTCATCAATTGAGAATGCATGGAATAGGTTTAGAACTCTATTTGAAGAGGTAACGACGCCTTTTATTCCATGTTCGACTCCACGACGATCCTCACATTGCCCTCCGTGGTTTAATAAGGACATTAAGAGACTGTTAAGGCGGAGGAAACGTTTATGGGACTTGTTTCTAGAAACTAGACTGGAAACATTTAAGACTGAGTACTGTAAAGTCCGTAATCTCTGCAGGACTTTGATTACACGGTCTCGAATGTCCTACGAGAAGCAGCTTGTGAGGGATTGCCAAAATTGTCCTAAAAGACTGTTCGCATTCGTCAGAAGGAGGACTAAAAGAAAAGGTGGAATTCCCTCTCTGGTGACGGATGAGAAGTCTGATAGTCTGGCGGAATCTAATCTGTCCAAAGCTGAATGTCTATCTGATTACTTTAGTGAAGTCTTCTCTGTAGATCATGACGATGAAGTGCTAAATAGTGGTGTCAGCACTGTTCCACTAATAGATACAGTGTTCACAACAAAGGAGTCTTACAGTTGCTCATTAACCTTAAACCTGGAAAATCCCCAGGTCCCGATGAGTTACATCCTTCTATCTTCGCTAGCAGACATCATTGCTGAGCCAGTCACGGATCTTTTCAATATGTCCCTAACTCAGACTCGCCACCCTAGAGACTGAAAAGATGCCATAATCAGCCCAGTTCTTAAGACCGGTTATCTCCATTTGGTGTCTAACTATCGCCTTGTGAGTCTAACTAGCATAGTTGTTAAGATTTTAGAAAAAATAATTCTTAACAGGGTACTTAAACATGTGGAATCAATCAATCTTTTGGCACCACAGCAACACGGTTTTCGTACTGCACACTCCTGTCTAACTAACCTCCTTATCACAAGAGAGGAATGGGTTGCAGCCCGTGATTGCAAGCTGCCAATAGATGCCGTGTTTATAGACTTCAGTAAGGCATTCAACAAAGTGTCGCATGTGAAATTACTGGGAAAGCTCTCCTCCTCCGGGTTTGGTGCTTCATTGCAAGCCTGGATTAAGGACCGTTTATACGATAGACGGCAAAGAGTAAGGGTAAATGGGATACTATCCTGGTGGAAACCTGTGATGAGTGGAGTTCCTCAAGGAACAATCCTAGGTCCACTACTTTTCTTGTTATATATCAACGAATTTCCAAAAATTCTCAACTCTTCGGTACTGTTATTTGCCGATGATGTAAAGATTTGGAGAGCCATACGCAGTGATGCAGATAGGTATGCACTTCAGGCGGATTTAGATGAACTAGTAGGTTGGTCCAAACGTTGGTGCCTGGAAATCAACTCTAACAAAAGTGTAATTATGCACATTGGTCATAGCAATTGTTTCCAGTATTCCGTCGATGGTACACCACTACTCTCAGTCTTTGAACTAAAAGACTTGGGTGTCATCATTAGTCATGATTTGAAAACCTCTGCAAACTGTAATGCAGCTGCAGCAAAGGGCTTCCGCGTATTATGGTCCTTCCGCAGAGCTTTCAAATGTTTTGATCAGGACATGTTTAGAATACTCTATTCTATTTACGTTAGACCTCACTTGAAACACTGCATTCAGGCGGCCAGCCGGTGCCTAAAAAAGGACGCAGACGCACTCGAGCGTGTTCATAGAGTAGGTACTAAGCTTGTGGCAGGCCTTTCGAATATATCCTATGAGGAACGACTAGGTCGGCTAAACTTATTCCCACTGTCTTACCGTAGAAGACGGAGTGATCTCATATTGGCATTTCGTATTCTTAATAATGACTTCGGTACTGATATGTCCTATGTTTTCACCCCTGCTAGGACTGACTATCTCCGAGGGCATCACAAGAAAATTCAAAAACCGCGATCGAATCAACTTAGCGTGAATCTGCGTTTCTTCCATCGTGTTGTCAACGTCTGGAACTCCTTACCTCAGCAAGTAGTATCAGCACCTTCTGTCGACGCGTTCAAGGAGAAACTAGATCTTCACAGAGATATTTTCTGCAAGGATTAATACAGGCCAACTGGCCTACTATCCTTATAATTGAAACTGAACTGAATATTTATCTTTTTTTTGGTCAGAATCTCAAATTTCTTAAAGTCGAGACAAACTACTCAACTAATAAGATGTGAATGAAATGCATCGATAGGTGATAAGATAATTTTATGATTTTTCCGATCACCTATGCATCAAGTGGATTAAGAAAACCAACAATTCAGTGTAGCGGCAGTGAAAGAAATAAGTTAAGAGTGACTTAGATTCAGTAGTCAACATTTAAGACCTTTAGTAACGAAGACAAATTCAGATTCATTCTTATCTCCTATGGCCGGAGTGATTCAGTAGTCCGAGTAGTACTTTGAAAGAACAAGTGTTTGCTTCAGAGTTTAAGGAGGAAATATGGCATTTCTACAGAAAGGAATAACTCCAAAATTCTTCAAATCATTAACTAGCCTATCTATCACACACCTTGTCCAACTATAATAAATTAATTAGCTTATATAAGACGCTTCATGTCAAACTTGACAAAAACCAGGTATTAGTGGTTGATGACAATGCGTGTACAGCACATTTCACTACGAATTGACATCAGGTATACCAGCAGTCAACAACATGGTATTTATTGCGAAACACTACGATTTATATTATCACACAAACAACTGAAGAATCCGCCCACGCACCAATAAGAGAAAAATAATGCGCAAAATGCTTACTCTATAGAGGCTTGGTGTCCAGAACCAGCAACAGTTTTTGATCCCCATCTTTGTTCTTTTTCAGTGACATCATTCTGTGTTGAAAAAAATGGATGAATTAATCTCCTTCACTTTAAAGAAGTAATTACCACAAAATCAGGTTCTGTTTCCCAGTTATCGTCTTCATTTGTGTCACGGGGCATTATATCAAAGAAAATGCGGAAAGTTCAGATTTAGATTTTCAATACCCACGCTGATTTTGTAGACTATATAAAAACGAGAGAAAAATATTTGAGATTATTACTAGGGAATAATATTTTGTTGTAACAATCTCCACGACTGAATTTAACAGTCAACATTAGACATAGACAAAATAAACGTAGAAACTCGCACGCAAGTGTATCGGTTCAAATCGCTACACTTCACAGCAGTATACAAAAAACAGGTGGATAGGAAGGGACTGATATCAGAGTACACAAGACTGTATGAGGAAACAAAGAATTTCAAGATAACAGTTAGTGCAAATATTCAAGTTTTAGATGCTAAGGAGTAAATACATCTGAGCCATTGTGACCGACAAATTATCAACCATGTCACCAAGAGATCTCAACGACCGATTCATTTCATCTCATGGAACCCATCCAAGAGGTCTACATCAATTGAGATAGTTGATTGCATCTTGATGTTATTCAGTTATGAGATGAAAAACTTAAGACTCGTTCTATGGAAGACTTTCCAGTAGATGCACCCACTCAAATGATTGTGATCCGCCTTTAGCTACAACATTTAGGATCTAGAACTATTGATTCCCATCCCCTAAACCCTCGACCAACAAGCCTGTTTCTTTGCACCATACAAAGTATAATTAACTTTAGGTATTTGAGGCAAGTTTTAGTTTGATCACCTTTAGTTGTTTGTTTTAGACAGCATTGCACATCAGCTCAATACTGCAGGTCATTATAAGATCACTTTTTCGGCTCTTGCAGACCACAAGATACAGATCCGTGACCATAATGCTTAGGTCCACGAACTAGGTTTATAAATTATATCTCAATGTCACAATATGTGGTTATACACTTGAAGTCAACAACGTAAAAATCCAGCCCCAGATTTCGGGCATAAAACATTTGAAAACCTTACGGGAACACAAGTAGGAAGTGTGGAGAAATCTAACGCAGGATTAAAAACACCAAATGAATTGAAAATGCTTTTATATCAAAGTCTAAACGCAGTTAAGTCATCTTTTGACTGAAGTTCAAAGCTCCGAGTAGCAATGACTGTGAGTAGTGGGTGTAGCTGAACAAATGAACACCTCAAATTTGAACTAGATTCCATTACCGAACCAGATTTCACAGTCTACTCACACTTTGCTATAAAGATAGTCCACTGTTATAGATTTGGATTACCATCTGCAGCACCCATGAACAGAATTTTGGAATAAATCATTAGAAGCAACCGGTTAGTACAAGCAGCAGTCTGAAAAAATAGTTCTGTGGTAATCCCATCTCGCTAAAAGCATACACTCTAGCAAAGAATACGACTAGCTTGCGATTCTGTGCAACACAAATCTAAAGGACAAAAAAGTTTATCCTGATTTTCAGTGATGTTCTCTTACAGGTAACTAATTCTAGAACAAAGAGTAAGTGGAACACACTAGTGTTTAATAACACACACACACACATACAGAGAGAGGATATTCCTATGAGAACTCATGGCCCAGTATGAAAATCAAAAGTGATCCAGATGATCTAGTTGTTACCTCTGATAGATTGGATACGATTTTTAACCTTATTCCAATGTGATTGTTGGAGGCGTTTTACTACCACTCCTGCCTACGTGGGTTTACGTAAATCTTGTGTTTGGCAGGAAGTGGGTGTGGGGATCCCGGATACAGGGGATACTAAGTTGCTCAACTCATCTCGACACTACTTTCCGTTTGCCTCTCGACTTCGCCAAATGGATTTCCACTTGTAACCTAGTCTTCTGTGCCGTCACAAGGGGAAATAAAATAGGAGACAACTTACCACCAGACACTTATCACTCAGTCTTTCTCATCTGGTCAGCAATTTAACCGGAAGCTCGCATATGTAAATCAGGAAAAAAATTGCATAGACTGCACCCAATCTATCAGAGGTAACGACTAGATTGTTAAGCCATCTTAACTTCCACCTTCTACAGCGATTTGAACATATGTGCCTCACACTCAAAGTATGCCCAGCCAAACAGAAATGTAGAAACAGTGGGGACGAAAGCGCAACTAATGCACGTAGCACTAAAATAATCTGATCGATACATGAAAACCCTATGAACTGTGGAAATAATGCGTGCATCGCGTAAGTAGTTTGTGCAGTACAGAAATCTCAGCTGGCAAACACTTTAGATGCACTTTGACATTTTTTAGGCGATTCCTGAAAAAATTTGCGATACATTGTTCGCATACAGTTACATTGTTACAAGCCCTAAGAACTAGACGCGAGATCAAAAACTATCAGTTTTCTACGCTCGCACTTTCAATATTGGATATTGGAACTTCGAGAGCAGTTTGGAAATCCTAAGCACGTCTCGAAAATAAATTATATTTCACAAGATTAGTCTTCAGGAAGTTAATAAACAGTTACAGATCTCGTATATACGAGATATATATAGTATATACTACGACCAAGCATCCACACATGCAAATTTTATTTATGTACACTAGTTACTGCCTGTCATAATGCCATATTTGCGAAACTTTGGGTGCAGTGCAGACAACTTGGGTAGTTTGGGAGAACTTACGAAGACTGGAAAACTGGGTTTGGCCTAAACCTAGCAAGTGACCTTCAATTTGTAACGTTGTGTGAAGATACTGTAACATCAAACTACATCCAATACCAATGGTGAGAACAGAAGAAACTTGTAGTTTTTCAGCCCTCGTTCCTAGGTCTTGAGACTTGGTGTTTTTGTTTGTTTGCACTTTTTCTGGAGTTGAAAAAGTCCTAAAGTTTTTCCTGCTTATAGCTTTCCAATATCCAATATTGATAGTGCGAGCGTAGAAAAGTGATAGTTTTTGATATCTCGCATCTAGTTCTTAGGGCTTGGTTCCAGTTGTTCCGTTCACCCCTGCAGTAGACGAGGAAATCCCCTATGATTTCTTGCTTTTAGCTTCGGTCAGGTGGATGTTTTATGGGTAAGTTGTAACTTGTAGAGTGGTTGGGGAGCTACGGGTTGCTGGGAAGTTTAGGGAACTGTCGTGACTCTGTGTAGGTACCTGAAAGAGAAGGGTAGGGTGGTGGTAAAACATGAAAAGAATGAAGAAGAAAAAAGAAAGGGAGAAAAAGGAAAAGGAGGGATGTAAAAGAGAAGTAAGAGAGAGAGAAAAGCATGGGGGAATTGCCTGAATGGTACCGTGGGTTTGGCTCCCACAGAAGAACTGGTAGGTAATGTAGGTGTACTAAGGAGAGAGTCAGCAGTAGGTAGGAGGGAGTTGGGGGTTAGTGAAGTTGATGACTACCTGAGTACGTCCGTGGTAGACCATGCGAGGTGACATGACTGTCTAACGGTTCCTTGAATGAGTCGACTGAAGGGGCTATAACGATATGTCACGGTAAGGCATTTCATAAAGCACATACTTTTAGGGAGAAAAATTTGGACCTGAGTATGGTGTTGGCTCTCTGGCGCGCTATCCTAATGGGGTTTCTTCGTGAAGATCGCTGAGTTGCGGGCAAAACTGATCTGTTTGAGTGGTCTGCCTGATGGGCGATCTTGTATGCTAAAATAAGGTCACCCCTCTTCTTGCGATAACCCAAGGTAAATAGGTTTAGGTGTTTAAGTCCTTCAGGATACGTCTTTCCCCTTAGCCCCACAACTGATTTTGTCGTGGTTCTTCGTATTTTTTCAAGGAGATTATAGTCTCTCTTGAGTGTTGGGGGGGCCACCGTATTGAAGACCTCTAGATGCGGCTGCACGCAAGATTTGAAAATGGTGAGGAAGAGTTCGGGAGTGAGGACGCCAAACTGTCTACGCAAAAGGTGTAGAATGGCATTCGCTCTGGTTGTCATACCTTTGTAGTTGGAGCTGGTGTCCAAGGTGTCGGATAAGTTGGGCCCCAAATCTTTCCCATGGACACTGGTGATAGCACGGTTGCCCAATATGTACTGGAAGTCGGTCGTACTTGCTTCACATTCACTGGTGTGCATTACCTCGCACTTTTCCAGGTTGAAGCTCAGGCTATTTTGCGACGACCAGGGTTCGAGTTGCTGCAAGTCCTTTTGCAGTGCTGTATAGTCAGCTTCGTATTTTACCACCCTGCAAATTTTAATGTCAGCAGCGAAGAGGAGGATGGGTGAGGATATTTTGTCTGGCAGATCGTTGACAAACAGAGGAAACGGAAGTGGTCCTAGGATTGCTCCTTGGGATACTCCTGACGTCGATGGTCTCCACTCCGACCTTATTCTGTTTACTTTGGTGCAGAACTGCCTCCCTTCTAGGCATTCCTTGAACCAAGAGGGTAGGGGTTTACTTATACCAGCTGACATGATCTTGTGAAGCAGGACTGTTGGTGGGACACTGTCAGATGCTTTGGCTGGGTCGAGAAATACAACATATACCGGTTTTCTGTTATCCCAGCTTTGTGTCCAGTCGTCTCAGGCGGTTAGTAAGTTGGTGGCACATGAGCGACCACTCCGAAAACCATGCTGAGCAGTATGCACAGCGTTTTCCCTATTGAGGAATTCCCAGGCAGTATCAGCTACCAGACTTTCCAACACTTTCGACACGGTAGGGAGTAGAGCGATTGGCCTGTAGCTGCCGGGGCTTTTTCTGTCCCCTCCCTTGAAGATGGGTGACAAGATGGCGCTCTTCCATTCTTTAGGGAGTCTGCACGGCTCTACTAAGTGCTCAGAGAGGTTGCGGAGTGGTTTCGTAAGCACCTCTGCGCAGTTTTTTAGAACCACTGGTTTTAGGTTAAGACAGCCGGGGGACTTGCCTGGACGTAGCCTAGATAGTTTCTCGAACACCTTTTTCTCTGTAATTGAGATGTGACAGAGGTATTCGTTATTTACGACCTGGTCGGTGTCGTAACGAGTCGGTGTGGAACTTGTGTCGGTGCTAAGTTGGGCCTGGAAGTGTGAGCTCAAAAGCTCAGCGATCTCTAGACTGCTTAGTATACTCCCATTATGACCTGTGACAAGATTTACTCCCTTACTGGTCGACTTCCCTCTCGACATGAAGCAGTACAAGTTTTTGGGATTGCTTTGCAACCTCTCCGCCAGGTTTGTTTGATAGGAAACTCTACCGCTGCGCACTCTAATGTTACAGTGGTTGCGAATCCTTTAGTGGTTTAAAACGTCAGACCCCCTGCGTGATGAACGCCACTTGAACCAAGCCTGCTTCTTGCTCTGGATAAGCCTCTGTCCCACGTTTTAGCCATGAGGTTCCTACTGATTGTCTGTGTGTTACCTCTGGTACACTGTGACTGATGGCCCCAGTGGTTACTTTCCTCGCCTTCAACCGGTATTCATCTATTTGAGACGAGTTCAGTCTACCTGCCACGATGCATTCATGAGATAGTCCCTCATGGTCTCATAGTTGGCCTTGCCGTAGCAGGGAAGATGTTGGACGTCTCCAGTTGCAGGGCCTCCCTAGTAATCATAGAGAAGGTTGTTACAGGAGAGGTCGGATGCAAACGTCCTAAATGAGAAGTCCATCTTTCGTCAGAACGTAGTCAAGGCGTGATGCGCTTCCGTTAGTTCCTCAGAGTGTGGCATCACTCACTTTCTCTGAGAGGCCAGCAGTCTTAATTGCATTCCTCGGCTTCTGATTGAAGGATCTCATGCATCTCTCTTCCGTCTAGAAGAGGATGGGTGGGGTGTTGAAGTAGCCGGCAATGATTAAGAAATCGTAATTTACAGAGGAAGTCCTTAAGATTGCCTTGATGACCGTTTCCTTATGTGTGGGGAGCTGGTGGGGGACTGGTTTATGACTCCGAGCAGGTATTTGGTACTGTAGAGAGTGAACTAGCACCATAGAGATTCTGGGAGCTGGGTTAAGGCCGTATCGCCGACCACCCTTGCCTTTAAACGGAAGTTTGCGTAGAGAGACACCTTCCTGCTCTGAGCTCTCTGTCCCTGCGGAAGAGTTCCATGCCAGTAACATGCATCTCTTCGTCGGAGATGTCCGGCAAGAGCCAGGATTCGGTGATAAATATGATGTCGGGAGGGCTGATGTTCACGCAGCGTCCTCATTTCTCTTACCTTCCCTCTTAGCCCTCTAACGTTTCGGTACATACATATTAGAGTGTGCCTAGTGAGAGGGGAGGGCTGGTTGTGTATTTTCGTGGGAGGAGAGCTTACGCGGTTGGGTCTAGCGTCACCAGTCCTCATACGACTGGCATCGTTCCCTTTTTTAAGTTTCGTTTTCAACTTGGGCTGGGGCTGCGGCAGTGGGAGCTTCTTTACTCGATGTATCTAACTCACTGGTCAGTGCTTGTGTGACGCCAAACGACTCCAGAGGTCTTGGTGGTTGCCTCGTGGGTCTGGGCTTAATTTCACACATTCATATTGAGCCACCCATGCGATCTTTCGCATTACATCATGCGTGTAG